ATTAATAGATTAGCCTTTAAAAAATTGAACTTTCAGGAGGAGAATTCTTATGTATTAAAGCAGTGCAAAAAACTACAGTGGAAAAGATTATTATATTAAATTGAACATAAATTTTTTTAAATCTTCAGTGTTTTAAGGTACCAAATTGTATATTTGCAACAGAAATATACATCTGAAAAATAATTAGTATTACTTATATATGTCATAACATGTAACAAATGTATTAATGTCACAATATAAAAATTAGGAAAGAGCATGAATAAAAGATAAGAACCTCTAAACAATAGTCATATGAAAATGTATTTATCCTCATCTCTAACCAAAGAAATAAAAATTAAAACAATAAGCCACTATCATTACTGTCTATAAAATAGCAAAACTGAGTCGATTTAAATGCTAGTATAAATGAATTTAAATTTCTTTTTTAAAATTTCTAAATTTTACAAATTTTCTACAATGATCATGCATTACTTTTATAATGAAAAAATAACACTGTAATATATAAATGGTCATTTATTTAATCTCTTATCCCCAAACACAAGACATGACTAAAAAATCTCCAAATATTTTAACATTTTTAAGTTGATTCTACTGATTATATTTCCTATTTCCACTGCATTTCAATTAACCTAAATATTGTTTGTTCCTTGAAAATAAGAATTTACAAAAGCAGAGATTTTTTCCGAGTCAATGACGTCCTAGTACAGTATTTCATAGCCTCAATAGAAGAGTCTTGCCATGATAAGGGCTGTTTTGTGGAAAATGCTCTCGGTAAAATTAACAGCCTGTGCAAGTTTAACTCCATAACTGAGCTTGGAGACATGGTCTGAAGTGCTGAAGTGAAGTGCTCTGAAATTGTTTAGAATTCAGGGGAAATGGATTTGCTATAATAAAAGGAAACTTTAAGATAAACAGGTTACCAAGAAGGGTGTATTTTTTCTTTAGTGTAGAAATTGCCTTAGTGTAGACATCAAATGTGTAGATTTTATCCATTGATTTCAAAACATTAATTTCAGTAAAAACCATTTTTGCACTTTGGTTATGACCTCCTAAAATAGATTCCTTAGAGAATCGAAAGGTAATAGTTAAGTAGGACTTGGTTCATTATTACCCTCAGATTTGATAATAGCCAAACATCACTTTTTATTAGCAGTTTACTTACATTATCTGATCAACCCTTGTCATAACTCTTGGAAATAGGTACATTTAATCATTCATCTTACAAAGGAGGAGAAAACTGAGATGCAATGAGGCTAAAGAGTCTGACCAAAGGTCCACCACAAGGACATGGAAAGGCAAATTTTGAGCTCAGATATATATGACGGTAAAGATCAAATTTGTACCCTGAAAATTTGATCTGCCCCCACATTACACTTCAGTAATCTTGACCTTCTCTCCACAGCTGACTCCCAATCCCATGTGGGCCACATAGAGTCTCACATAATCTGCCCACCATACCCTTGCACTTGGGTAGGAAAGTAGAAAGAGCTTGTGCTTTGTATTCTAACCTGAATCAAATCTTCACCTCACTGTTGTTTTCTTAAATTCCTTATTTCTCCACCTGTAAAGTGGGGGCAAATAATACCTCAGAATGCTGCTATGAATAGCAAAACATCATGCGAAAGTGCTTAGAGCAGTGTTTGACAAATAATAGATATTTAGTAAATAGTTTTCCTTCTTTCTTCCCATGCAAGACAAAAGTCATCCTTCCTTACCAAATCAGCTGGCATGAAAATGCTTCCATGGCTCTCTGCTTACCACAGAATCCTTAGAAATTAACTCATTAAATCAAATAGACCTTAGACATGGATCTCAAAGGCTTCTAAACTCCCAGGTTAAGGCAGTGTATGCTGTGGGAAGTCAAAACAGAAGTCTATACAACCTGATGATGTTCTGGATCCTCTTTTTTCTGGCTTTTTTTTTTCAACATGGGGCCTCACTCTATCACTTAGGCTGCAGTACAGCAGTGGTGCAATCTTAACTCACTGTAGTCTAGAACTCCTGGGCTCAAGCAACCTTCTCACCTCATCTTCCCAAATAGCTGGGACTACAAGCATGCACCACAACACCTACATTTTATTTTTTGTAGAGACAGGGTCTTGCTATGTTGCCCCAGCCAGTCTCAAACTCCTGGCCTCAAGTGATCCTCCTGCCTCAGTCTCCCAAAGTACTGGGATTACAGGTGTGAGCCACCATACCTGGGCTTTTTTCAGGCTTTTTGTAGCCTTATAGTGTCTATGACTGTAGCTTCTCTCTCGTCTCTGTTACATAGTCCTGCCCCCCAATTCCAAAGTACATTTTTATACAAGAGAACCCTAGCTCAGACTGCTTCTATGCTGTTTCTCAAAGTTGTATCAACTTATTCTCCTACTCTATTTTCCTACCAGGTTCTTTATCTCCCTACCAAGAACTTACCTATTGAACACTTGCTTTCAAAGCTCAGCTTAAATGACTTCTACCCCATGAATCTGCTCTGACCACTCTAGATGGAAGAGACCTCACCATCTATAGCACGGGCATCACTCCATTGACAGGGTATAGACGCTTTTGTCCCTTGAGGCTGAAAATTGACCAAACGGCATGGTGATTTTTATACGGCATGTGATTAGCAATCCCTTAAGCAGCCTCTCCCGCCTTCATACTAAAATATCTATAAAGCCTGCAAAAGCTGAATTCTCACAAATGCCCTAAATATTGGGACCAATAGTCAAACTATTATCAGAATCAGGAAGAATTGTCTATCAACTTGAAATCCAGAAGTGACTTTAAAAACTTTAAAAACTACTTTCCCACTAAAAATAGATTAAAATTCTTGGTCCATGAGTGGAACCATTCTTTGCTGTTCTTCAACTATTTGCCCTCTACTCAGAAGCACAGGAGGCCTGTTAACCACCACCAAAAACCAAAAAAGAAAAAGTGGAGTCGGAAAAAATATGCTTCTATTAGGTGGGCAATATTTTATGAGCATCTAGAATAAATGCTGTTCCCTAATCCCTAACCCAGTGATCCAAAAGAGTTAATAATAGGATGAGAAAAAGTTTTCAGGAACATGCCTCCCCAAAATATGTAGGGATATCAGTATTCATTTTTTAAAGCCAGGTGTTAGGGCAAATATCAAATTAACAGGAAAGAAAGTAATATTGATAAAATTTACAGTGAGGATATGACTACAAATCCCTTCAAATAACACAGTGGCTGCAATGTACAAGGTAAAAACTGTTAGAATGAAAAATAACAAATATGGTTATTGAGGAAGACTCACATACATATCTTAGGCTTTGACAAATCTAGAAGAGAAAAAGGAAATAAATAATAGATTGGAATACAGTAATATCTTGAATAAAATATACAAGTATAATAAGTGCAGATAGACACTTATAAACATACACACATACTCAAACTAGTTGCCAGCAAAATATCTGTGAAATATTTAGAAAATGTTGTTACAGTGTTTATCTCAAAAAAAAAAAAATCAAGAAGTTCAACCATTAAAAGGCCAGCCATTCTCTAATTTCCATGAGCTATAACTGGAAATTATAAGGAAAATAAATGTCCAAACACACAGATATCCATCAAATTAAAGTAGAAATTAAATTCCCAATTACAGACCATTTAGAAATCAACAAACGTGGCATTAAATATCAAATTATAGAATGTAATCTGAGGCAGATTCGTTAGAGAACAAAACCTGACAGATTTTCCTTAATGAATTTTATCGTTGTTGATGTGTATTCTAATAAATTTCCACTGTTTGAAATTAAGCCCAGGCCACTGTAATATTTCTTAATGTTGCATTCCAGAGTAAGTATTAAAATACCAGGGGGAATAATTTGCTGAGTCTAGCATCTACTGTTACTATCTTTACTCTCATTCATTTTGGCCTGTTGTTCCCTGGTCTCCACTTTCTTGACACCATATTTGATCTGACACACACCTACAGCCCCTTTAAATGTAACAGTTCTTGTGAACACCTTCTCTGACTTCAATCCTCAGTCTCTCACAGCTGTTTTATAGTTACCCCGGGTTCCACACAACTAATATTACTTATAAAGGGCATTCCTACTTTCTGCTCAGGATTCAGGGTCTGTATAAGTTGTAAGAGCATCACCTTGCCTTGTAACCTTAAAATTGTAACTAATTTTAAGGGACTGTGATTTCTTTTTTTTTTTTTTTTTTTTTCGGCTGCTGCACCTCCTCCGGGACTGTGATTTCTATGGCCCCTTATACATTTGCCACAAAATTAAATGAATTTGCATGTCAATTCACATATGCGTGCATATATACACACATAAATAGAGGATACGGAAGCCATCTTTTTTTTTTTTTGTATTTTTATCTATTGTTTCATTTATTTATTTAAGAGACATAGTCTCCCTCTGCTGCCCAGGCTGGAATGTAGTGGCACCATCACGGCTCACAGCAGCATCAACCTCCCAGGCTCAAGTGGTTCTCTCACCTCAGCCTCCCTAGTAGCTGAGACTACAAGTGTGGGTCACCACATCCAGCTACTTTTGTATGTTTTGTCTCTAGGGAGTTTCACCATGTTTCCCAGGCTGGTCTTGAACTCCTGAGCTCTGGCAATTCACCCACCTTTGCCTCCCAAATTGCTGGGATTGCAGGCATGAACTATCACACCCGGCCCCAGAAGGCAACTTCTAGGAATTCACTCAGAATATATAGCTTTTCCTAAATTTTTTTTTTTTACTTTTCCTAAATTTTTCGCTTAATATTATTAGCCAATCTATGATTTCTGTAATAAGTATATGTACTAATAAATTACAGCATTTTTTCTCAATTTAGAGTTCTTTCCAACAACAAAATTGTTATTTTCCTGTAAAGGAGCTATGAGTAGTTGCTATGCCTAGCCATGGTGCAAAAAGAGAAAATGTAGTTGGTTGTTAATTCTGTAAAAGTTCTCACTGAATTGTGTGCATGTGCAGAAAGAAAAGCAATAAAGGGAATTATGTGGTGTTTAAACATAACATTCTTCTCCAATGTAGACGAGGGTCCAACGTGTCTCTTACATTGGACATGAGTAGCTTGGGGAACATCGAACCCTTTGTGGCTATACCAACCCCACGGGAGAAGGTAGCAATGGAGTACCTGCAGTCAGCCAGCCGAATTCTCACAAGGTCACAGCTGAGGGACGTCGTGGCAAGTTCACATTTACTTCAAAGTGAATTCATGGTGAGCCTTCTACTTACTATTCGCCCTTCAGTAGGTATTTTGATACACAGGGCGCTAGAGACATATGGAAATGACACTGTTCTATCCTTAAGCAGCCTGCAATAAACAAATGGCAAAGTGAAATGGTTTTAGATTCACTCTCAGTCTCATCCACTATTGACAAGTATTCAAACTGGAATGTAAGAGCTAAATTAAGGCAGAATCTGCAGGAATTGGCCAGGCAAAGAAGTGGTATAAGGGAGCTGGGCGGAGAAGGGGCATTCCAGGACAAAGAATAGTCTTGCTGTCACTGTCTGGGGAATTAAACTGTTTGGTTTAACTGGGACGTTAAAATCAAGGTGGGAAGTGGCAAAAGTTGAGCCTCAGAAGTAGAAAAGAAACCCAAGCCTTAATACATATTTAGGAACTTGAACTTTATCTGTGTTTTAGAAAGATCATTCTATTTGCGGTAAAGTAGGCACTAAAAGGGAGCAGTTGAGAGGCTCTAGCATTAATCCTGTGGAACTGCGGTGGTGGCCTACACTAATACCGTAAAAGAGAAAATAGAGAGAATCTGTAGGAATCTACAAGAAGTGGGATTAATTGAATGAGGCAGCCAAAAGTAATGGAAAAGTCAGGGATTGTTTTTGGCTTGGCCGACAGAGTGCATATGGTGCCCTTTAACGAAATAAGGAACACAAGCGGAAGACCAAGTGTGGGCTAAAAAGAATAGTGAATTCATTTTTAGACATACCAGTGTTGCTGGTGAAAGTTTAAAGCAAGATAACATATCTACTCAGAGAACATGAAGTCAGATTAAATCTTCTTAGGTTGAATTGTCGCCCAAGGGAAATAATTCACTTTATAAATCACCTTGCATCTTAAATCAGTTGCACATCTTAAGCCATATTGGTTGAGTACAATAAATTGAATATTCTAGGGTCAGTTTAGGTATTTGCAGCCACCCTAACGGTGAAAGATTCAACAATAGGTTGGATCTACTATTAGCCCCACCAGCTGTTGTTAAGTGTCCAAAGTAAAATACAAACATGGAGTTTTAAAACTCGGACTTTGTGGTGTATCATATTTTACATGTGAGGAAAATGAGACCTGTAAGAATGAAAGAACAAGTCAGTGGTCACACAGCTAGTAGTGCTTTTTTTTCTAGAACTGCAGACAGCTCTTTGCTTATGAAATAAGCCCTTATCATAGCCTGCTTCCCTGAAAGGAAATTGAAGGCCAAGAAGGAGTACCCAGCAGAAAGAGAATGCTGGAAGGTGACACATTGTCAGTGTGTGTCAGAAACAGGAGATGAGAAGGAAGAAGGGGAGAAATACAGATATTACCTTTGTGGCTTTGCCCAAAGACACTGACATGCTTCAGATGACCAAACATGAACATGTGTTTTCCATTGAATATTCAAGAGTTATGCTTAGTTTGATAACTTGGAACTAAGAAGTTAAAACATTTAGTTGGAGCAGAGAATAGGGATAAATATCATGGATAGCTAACATAATGCAAGCATGGAAAAAATATTTTAAAAGTAAGCTGGGGCCAGGTGTGGTAGCTTGTGCCTTGTAATCCCAGCTACTCAGAAAGCTGAGATGGGAGGATCACTCGAGCCCAGGAGTTTGAGGTTACAGTAAGCTATGATTGTGCCACTGCACACTGACCTGGGTGACAGAGTGAGATCCCATCTCTAAAAATAAGTTAATAAGCAAAAAGCTGTTCCTCTCTGTAGGCGAAGTCTCAAATTCATAGCATAGTCCAGCTTTTCTCAAATTTTCAGATTAGCTGAAAGCTAGAATAATTTGAATTAATGACAATTTCTTCCATTTCAATGAATATTAGACTGTTAAATTTTCCACTGGAGAAAGTTTAAGTAGTAAAAATATTATTTTATGTGATCAAAGATTTAATATTTATCAGTCATTAAATAAAAGTTTTGTTTCACATTAATTTTATCAAAGTTAGAGAAAATACTGTTTTGTATAATCAAATCCTTAAACAAATGTTTGTTTGGACCCTTCTGTAAACTTTGGCTTGTTGCTTTCTTTGTCCTGGTTAGCTGCTGATGCTCAGCTTTTTAGATTTAATGTGCTTACATACAGCCAACTCTGTTCCTATTGTCCCCTGTCCAGCCACTTGAGGCACATAATGTATACTCTGACAGAATAAGAATATTAATCTTAAGTGGGAGAAACAGTGTTTAAATGCCCTTCACTGAAACATTCCATTTACAACTACAAATAGAACAGTTCAATTAAAAAAATATATATGTCATCATCACCTGAGTTAACAAAAAAGCCCTTTATGTTTACCATTTTGGGAAAGAGGTTTTAGTAATCCTAAAAGAGCCACTATTAGTGTGAAAAGATAATTTATTATGGTAAAATTTTGGTACTGAACTTACATAAAGAGTAGAACATATTTGAATACATTGTTTTTTCAAAAATTCACTTTTTAGCATCTGTCTAATCATTCTAGCAACTATGTCACAACAGGATTCTTAAAATCTAACCAGTGTTATATGTCTCCTTACTGACTACATATTAAGCAATATTTTCTAACACACAGAACTATTTCTTAGAAGTCAGGTTGTCCGGATGCAGCTGATATGTTTAGGAAAGGAAGGGTGTTGGTCCACCAGAGGTGGTAGGTCTGTTGTTTTTAAGTGGCTTTGAAGTCCATTAGAACTCTGGATCAGATGGCCTGCTGTGAAGATTTTCTTTGTGGCAGTATTAGATACACTAATTTGATACCATTTATTTTTGCAGGAAATACCAATGAACTTTGTGGATCCCAAAGAAATTGATATTCCGCGTCATGGAAGTAAAAATCGCTATAAGACCATTTTGCCAAGTAAGCTTCTTGATGCAATAATTTGCATTGTATGGGGGGAAAGGGGAGGGATAGCATTAAGATAATACCTAAGGTAGATGATGGATTGATGGGAGCAGCAAACCACCATGGCACATGTATACTTATGTAACAAACCTGCACATTCTGCATTTGTATCCGAGAAGTTAAAGCATAAATAATAATAATAATTTGCCTTGCAAAGCGCAAGTCTTCCTGTTCACCCTTACCTCAGCATTTCCAATTCTTACAACACCCACATTTACACCAAATTTGGAATTACAAACACATGTCAATATGAATAATCATTAATGTTATCTGAGCTTAATGATTTTACTTTTTTACTCTTGTTATAATGTCCAGGTCACAATTCCAATAGACACATGTTTTAAAATTTTGTTGTGCCACACGTTATGGCTACCTGATTTTAGTCAACGGGTCAAACAATTCATTGGGAAAAGGGAGTCTTTTCAACAAATAGAACAGAAACAACTGGATATCCACATGCAAAAAAATGAAGTTGGAGACTCAGCCTCACTCCATGTACAAACATTGACTCAAAACTGAGTTGCTATGTGGACCTGGACACTCTAATTCTAGGAAAATATTACCCAAAAGAAATGAAACGTGTTCACACAAAAATGTTACAAAAATATTTATAACAGCATTATTCATAATAGTCAAAGAGTGGCAACCATCAACTGAGAAATGGATAGATAAAATGTGGTATAGTTACACAATAGAATCAATAAAAAGGAACGAGGTACTGATGAACCTTGAATGAACTTTGAAAACGTTATGCTAAGTGAAAGAAGCCAGACACAAAAGACCTCATATTTTATAGTCCGTTTATATGAAATGTCCAGATAGGCAGATCTATAGAGACAGAAAATATCTTAGTGGTTGCTTAGCATTAGGGGATATGGGGAATGACTGTTGAATGACCTGGTATTTATTTTGGGGTTAATTGAAATGTTATAAAATTGGTTTACAGTGATTGTTGCACAACTCTGAAAGTTTAAAAAGAAGTTGTGATGGCACACGAAATGGGAGGATTCTGTGGAATGTGAATTATTTCTCAATAAAACTATTACCAAAAAAAGTCACTGTGCATAACAATGACCTAGAGTCCTTGTTAGTCTTCTGCCCAACCCCAGGGATTTTGTTTAAGTAGATGTGCTGTTGAGCCCAGAAAACTACTTTTTAGCAAACACCTAGGTGATTCCGATACAGATGAAACCAGGATCCACTTTGAGAATGACTACTATATGTGAAACTAAATTGAGCTCCATGAAATTATTAATGTCAAGCAATGACCTGAATGCCACTGACCAGTAAGAAATAAGAAACAGTCTATAAAATCAAGGAGGTCACAAACTAGAAAGGAGAGTCATATAAATGGTAATGATGCTCAGTGCATAGGACAGAGTACAGATACTGCCCAAGCAGTATAGGAGTTCAGAGAGGACTGAGTAATTAATTCTACCTAGAGAAATTAGGCAAAAAAAATTGAAGAGGAAGTAATATTTCCTATGACTAAACAAACAGATGTAGCTGGAGTTTTGGCAAAATCCATAAACATCTCACAACAAAGCTCAGGAAAGATGGAGCCACAAAGACTTTTTAAGTTTTGATATTGAAGTAGTAATCTTGATAATTTAGTTCATTAATTCACTCATAAGACATCAAATTCTTTATATCCATAGTAACAGTGCTATAATGAAATAAACTAATTAAAGAATTACTGTTAATATTGTCTTTGGCCTTCCACTTCTGGTGGAATTGGAAATACATTGTTAAACTATAACATACTTTTAACTGGTCTATATAGTTAAATCTATTTACCTAAGGCAGAGTCACTGTTGAAAGTTAGTTTATGACTACACTTGGCCTAAGGGGATAAAAATGCTGAGTGTTAGTAGTGTCTGTCTGTCTGTCTGTCTCTCTGTCTGTCTCTCTCTCACTCAGTCTCTTAAAATTTTCATCTAAAATATACCAAACATAAGTAATAAGGGAATATACATCCATTACAATTATATATATCCAAATCATCATCTAACTTTGGAAGGATTTGGAAATTATTAGGATTATTTCAAAGTTCAGCCTTCTCCATTTCTTGCCCAATGGTATCAGACAACTGCTTCGTAGTCCTGTGTCAGCTTTTCCGTTCACAGAACTAGGTGGACCGCTGGATGCAGGCACCTGTGCTGACAGCTGATGTTGCAAATGATGGATTTTCTGTTGAAAATATCTGCAGCCTAAATGCCCCACCCACCACCCCCGTTGCACAAAATATAGTTTAGGATATATAGCTTAGAAAAGTTATGCTGTTGGGTGGAAGTATCCAAAAAGCCTGGAATGAATACGCAAAGATGTTATTTATGATTTTAGACTGTAATATGAGGTAGACTTGAAATATTACATAAAATGATGATTATTAAATGATCAAGATGTTAAACATTATGATTGTTTTTATAGTTTTAACCTATACTAAACTATTCTTAGTTCTAAAAGTTTGACGGCTTGTATATAATAATAGCAACATTATGCAATTCTGAGAATGCCTTGCAACAGATATGGATAGCCAAGAATCAATCATAAATAAATTGATTTATAATTACAAATTATAGCCATTTCTCTAAGGACAATGTTATCTTGGCTCAGATTAAAATGCTAGTCAAGTTTACATCAAATTATTTTGCAATGTAAATATGAGTGATAAAATGTGTCTACATACTAAATAACAAAAGTGGTAGAAAAAATCATACATCAATAGGAAATTATTAGCACACAACAAAATATACTGTAATAACAAGTTTAAATTTCTCATTTTTATTTTAGATTCAGGGGGTACATGTGCAGGTTTGTTACAAGGGTAGATTGCATGATGCTGCTGTTTGGTTTTTTCTGATCCCTCGACACCCAGACAGTGAACATAGTACCCAATGAGGAGATTCTCAGCCCTTCTCCCTTTCCCTTTTTTTGGAGTCCCCAGTGTCTATTGTTTTCATCTTTATGTGTATCCAGGATTTAGCTCTCACTTATCAGTGAGGACATGCAATATTTGTTTTTCTGTTCCTGTGTTAATTTGCTTGAAAGCATGACCTCTAGCTGCATCCATGTTGCATCCATGACTACGTTTTTTTCATAACTGCATAGTGTTCCATGGTGTATATGTACCACATTTGCTTTATCCAATCCACTGTTGGACATCTAGGTTGTTTCCATGTCTTTGTTATTGTGAATAGTGCTTCGCCATAATAATGAATTTTGTGCATATTACTTTCATGCAGTCAATGTATTTATACAAATATAAGATAATATAGGTACAATGCTATTTACTCAGGCCATCATTTTATATTTAAAATTTTAATGTCTAATAATGTTTTCTACTTAAATTATGTTTCCTTTTTTATTATATACAGTGCCTAGCACAGAGTAGATATGCAAGTAAGTGAACCACTCATTAAAGCAACAAGTTATATAGCTAAAGCAAGATACTGGAATTAGATTTGATTTCCTAACCCAACAAAAACATTTACAATTCTTGGCAGGATATTTAATCTCCCTGTGCCATCCTTTATTCCCAAAAATAGTGGTAACAATACTCTCCTACAAGGCTCTTGAGAAAATTAAATGATAGTGTGCATAAAATGCCTATCAAAGTTCCAACTGATAGTAAGCCCTGGGCCAGTGTTGGTTTCTCTTTCCCTCCCTACCTAATCGAAGGTGAATCCATTCCTCATCTCAGAACCAATTCCAGGAAGTAGGGGTCCCATCTATGTGTAGAGAAGTTTACAGTTCTAAAAGCAAAGTACTCAAGAGCCCCATTTTCATTCTTTTTTTCTTTTCTTTTCTTTTCTTTTCTTTTCTTTTCTTTTCTTTTCTCTCTGTCATCTAGACTGGAGTATAATCAGAGAGTAGTGGTATGATCATGGCTCATTGCAGTCTCAATCTCCTGAGATAAAGTGATCCTCCCAGCCTCCCAAATAGCTGGGACTACAGATGCACACAACCACACCCAGCTAATTTTCTGTTATTTTTAGTAGAGATGAAGTCTCACTCTGCATTGCTTAGGCTGGTCTCAAAGTCCTGAGCTCAAGTGATCCTCCCACCTTAGCCTCCTAAAGTGCTGGGATTACAGGCATGAGCCACCATTCCCTGTCCAATTTTCTCTCAAATTTTTCATGTGGTTTTTAAAAGGCAAGTATCCATATAGTCACCATCCTGCGTTGCCAAGATCAACTCTTAAATCCATCAAAGATGAATATGGATATATCTTGAATTCATCTAAGAAAACTTTCTCATTCCTCTCACCCACGCTTTTGCCCATCACTAGCAGTGACACAGTTTTCTCTCATCTAATTGCTTTTTCCCTTGACTTCAAACCTCAAATTGTATTTCTTCTGGAAAGGAAATGCTAAGCAAAGAAAAGGCTTTTTACAAAATCGGATATGATACTAATGAAAATATCAGGATCCGGGTACCATTTTGTCTGTAAAATAGAAGACCTGATATTGATGAAGGTATTTTAGGGAGACCAGGATAGGGGTATGTCATGTATTCCATATGCCGTGTGTGTGTGTTCAGTAATGATGAAAACAACATAAAAGAACATATGTGTGTATGTTCAGTAATGAAAAAAAAGGAAGGAGAGAGGAAGAAAAGGAAGGAAGAGAGCAAAAAAGGAATAAAGAGAAGGAGAAGGAAAGGAGAAAAGGAATAAACAGAAGAGAGGAAGGAAAAATGATCAGTGTTCAATTAATGTTTGTAAATGTTATTGATTCTGACCAGATAAATTATAAGTGATAAGCTGAATATTTGACATCTCAGAAGTACCTGTTCAGAAAAAATTATTGTAGTGACTTTGACAAATATGTAGACTTAGAATGAGTAACAAGTAAAAGTATAACTGTAGCAATGAAAATGATGATGATGATACATTTTTTTTGGGCTTTGTTTTTAGTCCAAGCTACATATTATAAATATTTTTCTTGGACCTA